GCACGTTGTGTGTGTGACGAGCACGAGGCTCTACATGCAGTGGTAACCGACATGTGGTGAGCACATGACCGAAGCGATTATTCATTTGAGGCCGATAGTTCAGCCCAGACTTGGGTGGCCGCTTCTTCCGTCTTCGCGTTCGGCTCCATCGGCATCGCTCCTTAGTTTCGGCGTGGTTTCGTTTTGTGCGACCTACGTACGCGCCTTCGAGCGCTCCCCGAAGAAGAGTCGAGTTGCGAGGGTCCCCACCGCAGGCCTGTTCCTTCTGGCTGAACCAGTGCTGGAACTTCATGCCTGCTCTCTCCAACGTCAGGTCATGTGCTTGTTTCGCTCTTGAGGCAAAAAGTGCAATCTAGTTCAGGTAAAAAAAAAACAGACCTCTTACAAAAATATTTCACCGTTTTTACTTCCCATACGGTCAATTTTTGTCCCATTTTTAATCGGTTCTATCATTTTTATGCTCGTTTCTTGAACTCTCAGACATGCCCAGTTTATTAAGGTATTTGTGTAATAGTGTGTCGGATTTTCAGTGATGATATTAAGGGGCTCTTATGTAAGTTTACTATTTATTGAAAAAAATACTTTTCCATAACTTCATCCAATTAATTTCTTTTATATTATCAGTTAACTTCATGTAATTCTAAGTAATAAATGTTAATTTTGAGTAAAATCTTAGTAATTAATGTTAATTTTGAGTAAAATCTAAGTAATAAATGTTAATTTTGAGTAAAATTAAAGGAAATACATATATATATATATACAAACACAGATATTATTTATTTTTCATTTTCTTATCAATGTTTTATTTATATAAATTAAACTAATCGAAATGCACATGTAATAGAAAGTGATATATGAATATTTAAATATGTGCATACGTATATATAATATATAGGATATATATAGGAGTATTACTAAAAATTTTTAATTTTCTACGGCTGTATTTTCGAATCAAATTGGTCAATAATTTTGAAATATTTATATAACGTCTCTATATTAACCTCTCAACGTATAAAAAGAACATATAAAAAATGAAAAAGAACATATAAAAAATGTCACTTTTAGTTATGAATATCAATGTACAAAAAAAAAACACGTATAAAAACATCATTTTTAGTTATGAATATCTCAGCTTTCGAAGGTTAAATGTTTCCTAATTGCACCACTAATCAGGTTATATTTAAATCTAATCTACAACTAACTATCTTAAGCGGAGGAATATGAAGAATACATGTAAGTATGCCTGATTTTTGAGCAGATTGCCCAATCTTCAATGCTTGTTTTTAACTAATGAGTAACAGCGCGTTAAAACGTTCTTCTTTCACTCGGTTTCGTTTCAATACGGAAAGAAGTGTGTTAAAGAGAGTCGTGAATTTAATCGTGCTGTTCCAAAATATGCAATGTGAATGCTTGTGAGCTAATCAAATATTTTGCACTCGTAGCTCAATGTACGTTTACACACTTCCAATTTACACAACACTGTACATGTTTACTACTCAAAAATATCCATATAACGGTATGTTAATACCATTCGGATGCACTCGTGTGCACTCCACTATAATTACTCGTTGTTACGGAAAAGTGTCCCTCTTTCCGACCCGGAGAAACGGGGTCATACTCACTCAGCCAAATGCACGCTTTCAATACCCGAACCAACAGTTTTCGCGAGCTAAAAACAGTGATATATTTTTGCGGGGGATTTCATAACACACTGGAGCTCCTCGTGATACAGTGGCACGACGATCGCGAGAAAACCAGTTCAGAAGAGCTCGAAACGGCGTAGGCGTATGTAAATATTCGTAGAGAAAAAAACTACATGTGTGCGCTTTCCGCCAGTCATCTCGAGATGTCTCGTGCAATTAAGATTCTATAGATGAAGCTACGGGCGTTTCTCCGATAATTTTAATAAAGAACGCGGCGAAACACACTTATATACACGCTGCCGGTACGTCTTACCGCAGTCTCCGATTACGTAAAGGTGAGACCTCGAAAACTCGTGTCTTTTCCGCGTGACATCGATATATCAATTATCGAAAGTTGCCGTGCGACGTGACGATAGGATGAATTCGTGACGACGACGGTGCGATTAATTTCCAATGGGACGATATCGCGACACTCGTTACCGTGGGAGCACGTGATGCGATGACAAAATAGACATTAAACAGCGCAGACAGACACGGCTGTGACGACCACAAGCAGAGACGCCGCTCGAGGAGTCAGCGAAGTCAAATTGAAACATTTCTCATACAAGCTACAACGTTCTTGTAACTTGCCGTATTTGCAGATGTGTGAGTACGCGTGTCCGTGTGCCTATGTGTGCGTCTTGGTCCAAGGCGATTAATCAATTGCCAGGTTGGCTCCACTTAACAATATCACGAGGTCAACTAGTTTCGTAAATTTTCCTTGAGATATTTACCGGCCGTTATTACCGGCCGTATTACAACGGAAATCATTTCTTTGCGATTGAACGGCGTCCCGAGCAAGTCCACGCGATAATTTCAGTCGTGATTGTTCGCTGCCACGCATTGTTCTCTCGATAATTTGAATGCTCGTATATGAATCCGTGACGCGGTTCCCTCCGCGCGCGGCATTCAGTTTTCCCTTCTAGGAGAGGCGATTTCGCGCAATAACGTAAAAAGTCGATCGACCTTTCCCGCTTCCACCTTGTGCCGAGTGTTTTTCACAATTTCGCGAAAGCGTAATCTCTGTCTCAGCCTGCTGCTTAAAAGCTATATGATTCTATTAGGTTGGTGCGTATGAAATGTCGCATTCTCTTTACATGCGGACGTTTTCCTCCCTGTTTTCGTTATACTTTTGTATTTGGCATAACCTCATTCATACTCGTATTGTCCATTGCCAGAGACTCATTTCAACAAAATAGGTTTTCTCGAAGGTCTTCCCTTTTTTATTTCTTTTGAGTTTATTACCGATATGAATTCTGCCGACATTCGCGTCATTTTCTTATATGAGTACAAACTTGGTAATAGTGCTGCAAAAGCTGCACGCAACATAAACCAAGCGTTTGGGGAGAATACGGTTAACAATCGGAAAGTGCAGCGTTGGTTCGAAAAATTTCGGACTGGCGATTTTTCACTGCAAAATGAGCCGCGCGGAAGACCCAAAACGTCTGTGAATAATGATGACCTGAAGGCTCTAGTGGAAGCGGATCCAGCCGTATCCACGAGGGAACTTGCTATCAGGATGAAAGTTGACCATACAACGATATTGAGACACCAAATTGTACTCCCATCGCTTGTGAATCGGCATGGCCCGCTACTGCTCCATGACAACGCTCGGCCGCACACATCGCACAAAACAATTGCGAAACTGAACGAACTGGAATATGAAGTTTTGCAGCATCCACCATATTCACCGGATCTCTCGCCGACCGATTTTCATTTTTTCAAGCATTTAGAGCTGTTTTTAAGAGGCAAACACCATGAAAATGAAGACAGTCTAAAAAACTCGATATCAGAGTTTATTAATTCTAAAGACCAAAATTTTTTTAAGACAGGCATCTACGCTTTAAAATCTCGTTGGGAGAAGTGTATTGAAGCGAATGGAGCATACTTTGATTGAATAAACAGCTTTTGAAGAAAGATATACAGTTTTATACAATCACTTAAGAATCCGACATTTCATATGCACCAACCTAATAGATGAGATTCTCTCGCGAGTGCGACGGAGAGCGATTACGAGCGTCGTGTTTTCGCAAATACGCGACGGGACTGATTTTTTTTCAGATAATAATAGCGATTAAAGTGATCATGCGGAACCGTCGTTTACACTGTTTATCTCTATCTCTCTTGCGTGTGACGTATGTGTCGTTTGTAAACTATTGTCGGTCCGAATAATTACGGTTCCACGAAGTTTCAAATTACCCGTCAACCGACGTGAAACGACTGACTATTAATTGTGTATCTCGTTTTGAATGAAAATATATCGACCAGGACGTTCTATATCTTATAATTGCTGTATGAGAAAAAATTAATATCAATTTAAGACTCGTATTCTCATGTATAAGCAAGAATATAAAGAAGATAAAAGTTACTTATATGTATGAAGAAACTCTATATATAGTCTCATTCATATAAAATATCATATTTTTGAGACTCGAAAATAATTTTCATGGATTGAGAAGAAAAAATATTTGGTAAAAAGAACGATCATTAAACTAAGGAATTGCGTGTTCGAATCCATAATAGGTGTAGTAAACCTTTAGCCTTTCGCTCTAAGCACTAAATTGTGACGTAAGTTCTAGCAAAAAATGTTTCCAGCACTGTCAGACGTTGCAATATATCATATTTAAGTGTTTTTGCGACACTTGGCAGCGCGGGAAATGCCTTTTGTCAGAAATTACATTTTATTACTTAGAGCAAAAGACCAAAACCTTACTGCACCTATCGTGACCTACTGTCACCTAACGTCTTTTGTTAGAAATTACATTTTATTGTTTAGAGCAGAAGGCCAAAAACTTACCACACCTATTGTCACCTATGTACGCTTATTGAACCCTATCAGTTCGAAAATATCGCTCTTCATATCCAAATATTTTTCTCCTCAATTCACACATTTCTTGAATAACAAGAACATATTTTTACTGGAACTATGTCGAATTTCTTCATGTGTGTAAGCTTCATCTTCGACGTAAGATTATATATATTATTCTTGCTAATACTAGAATATAAGTCTCGAATTTTGCTACTAATTTTTATCTGCGCACGCTACGGAAAACCCGTGCCGCTATCGTATCGGAACACATTTACTTGAATCTAATCGCGATGAAACATCATTCGCCTAATCGTCGTGTGCGCATAATTAACCAGTCGGCCGGGAATATCAATGCATCAGCACACGGACAACGCGTCGCTGTATATTTCCCTTTCTAAATCTCCTCCCGCCAATAATCCCGCGATGCGACACTCCGCGCAGAAAACTTCCACAGTGCGACGGTGGCAGCATCGATATAATAATCGCAAATGCAGCAGTACGACCGTAAGGTCAGGCCGGCCGTGTTCGGCCATCTCGGACGATATAGCGATTGTAACTTTTATCACTTTACAGGCGGCGACAGCTGTACGGTCGCGATTATGGTCGTCAGTGACCGATAAGACGGCGCGATCTCTCGCGGAACTCGCTCTTTCCCGGACGTCACGTCTTGCGACGATTGGAATTCACCGGTCCGGGGAATCCACATGAGAAGCCGCGAGCGACTCACGCGAGTCCCCGAGTGACGGTGTGCGTGCAAGGGCGGTGAATTTCGTCAAGTACGCGCTGCACACGGCTCCGTTGTCTACGAGAAGTCGTCCAGTCTCTCTCGGCTTCAGGTTGGCGAACCAGTCGTTCTCCGACTCTCCTGCTGACATTAGAGCGGTGACGGCTCGCGCGATCAGTCCCGCATCGAGCGTCAATGCGTCGGCGGATTCGCCGATTGCCGATCATCGACACGTCGCCATCGTCTCGCTCTACGCTCTGGTGACATCCCGCCGCGGTCCACTGGATGGTCGCAAGCGAAATCGAGGTACAGATTCTCTCTCACGTCGATCTGCACCGCGACTCCTCCTCTCTCGCGTTCCCGCATCGAATCGAGATCAGTAAATACTAGCTATCAGTAACGCCCCGAGTCGAAGTTTTAGTCCTACTTTCAGTCTGATATAGTTCTATATGAAGTGTTCAAAGGTCTTCTATTGTGCTCCTTTAATGCTGCAAGTTGGAACTTATTTCCGTTTTCTTCACTTGAAGACTTAATGTAGAATTTAAAACTTCGACTCGGGGTAACCATCAACGTTATAATTTCCCACTCGACGATGTAACCGTTACATAACACACGCGTTACATCGCATTTACATCGGCAAATTATAACATTAATGTTATGTTATTGTTAATTGATACTGTTTATTGAGGAGAGCTTTGAGTTGAAATCGTTCCGAGTCACGTCCGAACGAAGTCGCGAAGATAACGGCGAAGTTCGAGCTGACAACAGAAGATCGTACGAATCGCCGAAACGCGAAATTTTGCATTCTGTCGTTTTGTTTTGCAAACTTTCGCGAACGATATTCCGTAATCTTTCGTTCTTCTTCCGCGATGACTCTGATGAAACATACGAGAATAACGTTGCCGTCTGTGAGAAACCGCGCCTCCGAACAAAGGAACGACTGTGCTGTTAATTTTCAAGTTCTTTTTTTCCCAACAAACTAGGCGTTTCTAGCCAAGTACGGTAGAAGTAGCACGCGTTAGCATTTGTCTGTAAAACGCGCGCAGCAAAAAGGTCAAATATAATGTACGCGCGCGCGGCGGAACACGGCCGGAGAAATGGTGATCGTAGCAACTCCCCGTGCATGAACATTTTTAATCCAGCATCGTGATCAATGCGCAACCTTATTTCTTAATTAACGGCTTAAAAAAGGTCAGACTGAGGTATATACGAATGAAATGAGACCAACGACACAAATAGTAGCACATCCTTTCCGCTGAGCGTGAAACGTCCGACTTTCAGTCACTTTCAGTCGAAAACATTCGGATCCGGACGAATTAAACGCCGGGAAGATTACGCGGCTCGATAACGAGGAGAAGTAATTTACTGACCGGCGACAAAGTGACGAGGCGGAACGATTTATCGCGAGCGCAACGCAAGCCAACGCGCGATGCGAACTCCGCGATTTAGTTTCACAATCACCGCATACGGTATAATAAATATTTGCATTCCCGCGCAAACCTTCTTGCAGCGTAAACGCAACCGCGACACACAAGCAGAAGAATATCAACGACTCGAGAGCGGCGCACAGGGTGTCCGATAAATCCCCGAAAGCCGCAGCGAGCCAGGCAGCAAGATGGCGAGCGTCGACAGGGATCTCGAGGAACTGATGTCTCACCTGGGCGAATTCGGCAAGTACCAGTCCGGCCAGTTCTGTCTGCACCTACTCGGCGCGCTTCTGGCCGGCTTGCACATGCTGTCCCTACTGACCGTGGCGGCGGTGCCGCCGCACCGCTGCGACGTCCCGGGCACGAACCTGTCCTTTCTTTGGACGAGCGATTCGCCCGACAGCTCCTGGAACAGCTCGTCGGTCAATTCGGACCAGCTGCCGCGAGCCATCGACAGCTGTCACTACCTGGACCTCGACAACGTCACACGGGAGTGCGACTCTTGGACATACGACACGACGTACTTCCAGTCTTCACGCGGCATGGAATGGAACTTCGTGTGCTCGCAGCGCTGGATGGGCTCCTTGGCGCAGTCGGCCTACATGCTCGGCGTGTTCGCGGGCTCGTTGACGTTGGGCAGCCTGGCGGACTCGTACGGCAGGAAGATCATATTCTGCGTGTCCGCGGTGGCGCAGCTGGTGCTCGGGGTGTCGGTCGCGTTCATGAACAACTACTACGTCTTCCTGGCGATACGCTTCCTCTACGGCATCTTCGGCTCCGCCGGCGCCTACATCACCGGCTTCGTGCTGACGATGGAGATGGTCGGCCCGAGCCGGAGAACCGTATGCGGCGTGATGTTCCAGCTGGCCTTCGCCGCGGGCTTCATGCTGGTGGCCGCGTGGGGCGTCGTCATCAAGGACCGCATGTGGCTGCAGATCGCGTACGGCGCGCACAGCGCGCTCCTGCTCGGCCACTGGTGGCTGATGGACGAGTCGCCGAGGTGGCTGTGGGCGCACGATCGCGCCTCCGAGGCGATCATCATCGTGCAGCGCGCGTTGAAGATCAACGGCAGCGACGTGAAAATAGACGCGGCGAAGCTGGTGGGCCGAGCGCGAGCCCAGCAGGAGACGAAGCCGGACAAGTCGCACGGCACGTTGGACCTCTTCCGCACGCCGAACCTCCGCAAGAAGAGCCTGAACATCTGCCTCAACTGGTTCGCCAACTCCATCGTTTACTACGGGCTGTCGCTCAACATGGGCAACCTCGTCGGCAACCCGTTCATCATGCTGTTCCTCAGCGGACTCGTCGAGCTGCCGGCCTACATCCTGGTGGTCTTCACAATGGACCGAGCCGGCAGGAGGTGCCTGGTCAGCGCGCTGCTGCTGATCGGCGGCGTGTGCTGCATCTGCGCGGCCAACATCCCCGCCACCAGCGAGGTCGCGTCCGTAATCACGGTGACGATAGTGCTCGTCGGCAAGGCCTGCGTCGCCGGCTCCTTCGCCGTGGTCTATAACTACACCGCCGAGCTGTTCCCCACGGTGGTGAGGAACACGGCGCTCGGGATCGGCTCGATGTGCGCCCGGTTGAGCGGCGCGCTCACCCCCATGATCTTCCTGCTGGACTCGTTGGACCCGAAAGTGCCGGCCGTGCTGTTCGGGCTGATCGCCCTGTTGGCCGGCTTCCTGGCGCTCTACTTGCCGGAGACGCTGAACCAACCGATGCCGGAGAGCATCGAGGACGGTGAGAACTTCGGCAAGGGCGACACCTGCTTCACCACTTGCCTGGGGAGAAGATCGAAGGCCGCGAGCAGCAACAACATCGCGATGACGGTGCAGGTGAAGGAGGAGGGGGAAGAGAAGGAGAAGCTGAATAACATATAGGCGCAGCTCCCGATTGCCATAGCTAGAACAAATTCACCAGAGTGCCTTCGACCAGTATTTACGGCTGGCAAAAACGCACGGACGGACGTGCGTCACCCTGATCGACTCGCCAAGCCACCACGTGGGTACGACGGTGTCGGATATATATACTCGTTGGGGATGCTTACTTTCCAGATTAATATAACCGCCTGATAACGCGCGCGACTGCCCGGCCAACGACAACGTAACATTTAGAAGCGTGACTTACATGCTAGGTCAGAGTTTCGTGCCCGAAACTGCACACGCGATATTATATTTTTGTGATATTGTAAGGGAGATATATTTAGTAAGGAAGTATATTTTAGATATTTCACGCACATCCCCTTCTCTTTCGCATAGAACGTTTCTCCGGATCTAAAGAAGTTACAGCCCGATTTCCCAAAATAATTCTGGATTGTACACAGTGAGAAATTTTAACATATAAATTAGATTTAACGCGCTTAACACACGCCTCAAACGGTCCGTGCAAATGTTTGCGTTAATTTAACACAAGATGAATATGTTGAAAAGCTGGAAAGAACGCAAATATTATGTCAAAAATTAACGCAGAATTAATACGTTAAGCGACGCTAAAGTATAAAACGTGTTAACACTCACACATGTTGAATACTGACTGGTCACAAAATGTTGAGATAACGTAAACACATTATATTAAATTAACATATAAAAATAAAAATTTAACACAAAAATGTGAGCAAAGATCGGTCTTAACAAAAGTACGCAATGTTTTTTACTGTGTAGTTGGGAAATCTATGCAGGTTCTGGTTAAAAATATAACGTTTCAAACATACGATTCTAACGAGGAAATTTCGCGAACCCAAAAATACAGATTTTAATCAAAACTTGGCATAAATGTAAACCGGGTAAATAAATAAACTTAGAAGTTTTCAGTGGGAGCTGAAAAACAGTTTAGAGGGGTGAAACCATTCTTCAAAGATATAGAAATTTTCGCATTCTTTCAATATATCTCGTAAACTAAATGAAATATCAAAAGATGTTTAAGTTTTGTGGAAAAAATATCTATTTATATATTTAACTGCGCCATTTATTTTTCGAAAACAAAATTATTTATTCCCATCTTTGAGATAAGAATGGGATTCCTAATCGTGGTGGAACAACTTATTTTGGAACAACTTTGGGCATTCTAACCGGAACTTTCTACGCTGTACGTGGGAAAATCGGAGAAAATTTCTATGCGAAATATATATAAATATATATTTTAATACATCCCACATTTCCTATGTATTTTTACAAGAATCGTAGAATTGTTTCTCAAGAATTCCTCTTCGCTTTGTCTCGCCGGGAAGAATATCTGTCGTATTATAACATCGCGTTATCACACATATTTACGCGGATATACAGCAGGTGCAGACAGGCTTTGCGATATCGTGCGATTCCATTGTTGGGCGATCTCTGTGAGAGAAGCGATTAAAAGTTCACGGCGGGATTGCGCCGGCTCGAGAAAGCTCGTCGTAAAATCTCTCTCTCTCTCTCTCTCTCTCTCTCTCTCTTCTTTTCTCCCGCATACGGGCGCCGGAATAATCCGGAAGTCAACGAGGAAATAAATTCGTTTACATCCGACTTATCTCACTACTTTCGACAAAATGAACCGGCTGGGAAAGTTTAAGGGTTATGCGAAGATAAAAGGGACGCTTTCGAGGCGCTTTAAAGCGCACGTATGATCTTAATAGCGAGAATGCAATTCCGGCAGAATCTTCTCGGGCGAGAGAGATCCTGGTGGAATCGCCGTCCCGCTTTTCTCCCTAGCTAATGGAAAAACTTTGTCGCCCGTTGTGGCGGCCGAACGTTTTTCCAATCATAAAGTTTGAAAAATGGTCATGTCGGCCATCGGCGAATTTTCTCTCTCTCTCTCTCTCTCTCTCTCTCTTTCCGCTGTTGAATTAACAGAGACGATGAGAGATCCCGTCTCCGGAAAATTTCGTTAAGTTCTCCGGTCGCCGGGACGGTTCGAGAGCTGCGCGCTTGTTTGTTAAAACAAACATACTTTGTTCATTCCACTTAGTTGACACGTGAACGTAACTACTATTTTATTTACTTCGCGAAATTACATCTCGTCGGAGAAATTATATTCTCGCACGCGGGATTTGTCCGGAGATACTTTTTCTACCAAGAGAGCAAGCTCACAGATGCACTTGATCGTGCCGATCAATTGGAACGAATTCATGCGAAAGAACTCTTTGAAAGAGTTCACCGGGGGACCGTCGAAAATCTAGCTAATAAGCCGCATTATGCAACTCCACTTTCAGCCGGCTCTTTCTTATTGTCCGAATGTCACTCGCTAACGAACTGGAAATTTATTCCATCGCTCGATAACTCCTCGCAGAGACTTAGCTCCCTAATTAAATCCGGCGTATCCGTAAAGTATCGCGAATCACGGCCGAGCAATTATCGGGAGACTGTGATACAATTCACTGGAAGTTCTCGGTGTCACCTGCAAGCTCGCTCGGCTCGCGTAAGACTTCACCGTTTCATTCGCACAAGTCACCTCCCTCCGTTCCGAAGAGCGTCTTCCAGAAGTTGCAATTCATAGCAAAGGCTGCGACGCGCAACGATCGACAGTAAATTTTTTGTGCATGCTTGTCTCTTGTCCGGTGTAAAAATAACCGTCCGACATTACGGCGCGATGTTATCCGAATTAATGACAACGTTAACAGTCGTCCGTGACTTGGCGACTCGCGGCATTCGCGAGAAATCAGCGGCGAGCCGCGTCCGAATTCCCAAAGTTTCGCGGCTCTCACATGCGCGATCGCCAGCAATGAAATTAAACGCCAAGATTGCACTCCCGAGGCCCGATTTTTCACTTTCTAGTTAACTTGTGGTTTAGACTTAACCCAAATGATAATATAAAAATTATGTTTTCCTATTCACGGTTAATCGTCAAATTGTTTAAGCTACCACTGCAAAGCCACCAGCTTGGTGATTAACCATAAATAGAAGAACAGAATTTTTGCATTGCCATCGGTTTAAGTTTAAGCCACAAGTTAACCAAAAAGTGAAAAACCGGGTTCGAGAGTTGTAGTTCTAAGTTCCTCTTGTCAACCGGAGTTTTTGAAAATATTTAGATTGAGAACGAATTATATACATATATATTTATAAATACGATTTTTCGTTAAAAGCGCTTCCGATTCCTCGTGGGATAATCTTCGACCTCCTTCGCGGCCGAAGGGATAAGAAAATCGCGATATTCGCAATTCATTTTGCTTTATCCTTCTTGTAAAGAGGACGAAGCCGGGGCGTTTGAATTTGTCGTGAGAACGCTCTCGAATTTGAAACTGGGACACAAATCTTGTAAGACCGCGATGGAAACCCGCGCGATGGAAATATCCAGGAAGAAGCGACACGTCTTCGGAGAATCCTCGGAACGTCCGTTGGCTCCTGGTGGACGCGAGCCGCGGCTTGTTTAGCTGACGATAAATTCGAGCCTGATGATTGTGCACTCACCTGCGTTCTCGAGCGCCTCACAGGTCCATACACGAGGGATGCTGGAACGGATATGCCGCGGGAGCACACGGAGGCAAGGAGCGCGCGTCGCCGACTGAACTCCCGCTCTGTGCTCGCCCATTAAATCGTGGAAAACGCTATGTCGCTTCGGCAGCGCGCGCAACTCCGTCAAATACGGTGCAGGCTGTTGCCTCAAATTTGATCCTGTAGAGGATAGATATCGGTATCGTCGCGCTCTTAAGATCGCTCCCGGCTCGCGAATAAAGCGCCGCGAAAGTGGCAAAAAAATAAAACGGCAGGGACTCTGGTCCGTGCAAAGTTCGCGAAGTCCACGAGGAGTCCACGGAAAACCGGAATAGCTGGCTTTGTATACGGAAAAAAGGAATTAGCTCCCCACATAATACAACTGAAATTTAGTTACCAGACCTAGTTTTGAGCTATGGAAATGAAAGCTTAAGCGCAGGGATAAAAAGAATGAGCTGAATTAGCCCATTTCGTTCCTCTGTTCTTATATGGGAATAGCAAATTTACTTATCTTCAACATTTTTTTATTTACGCTAAAGGTAAATTCTGGCCTAGATCTTGTTACTGAGATATAGTTTGGACTTTTGCCTTTCAGAAAATAATTTCATTTGACCACCACCCATCACCCTTCCTCCACCCTCTAACGGTGGGAGGGAGGGAGAGGGAGGGGAGGGGTGGAGAAAACACAGCTCTTTAACTCTTTGACTCACTTTTTTAATTAATTAGTTAAAAATAGTAAAAAATAAAAAATTGAAGAAACAATAATGAAGTATTGTTGACAAAAGTTTAAATCGTCGTAAATGACGATTCCCGTTATATGATTCACTAGGTGTATGCCAAGTCTCTCACAAATGTTCCGACTATTTTCCGGGAAAAACAGCTGGTCGGAAGATTCTGACTTGAGGTATTAAACGGTAACTGAACGATATTTGGATCACATGGATCTCAAAATTTTTGCAACCCGGCCCGAAATGGGTTAACTAAATTTCCGTTGTATTACGTGAACAGCTAATTTCCACCTGTAGGACCTACTTATTTTTTTCCATGTATCGTCAAATCCGATTCAAGTTGAGATTTAATTCTACGCGATTTTAAGCCGACCTCGATTTATAACGATTTCCGAGCAGTGAGAATGATTTCGCTTTGGGAATTATATTTTTGGTAATTGCCGGACGCGAAATAAAAAGCAACAATCGTATTATATTATGCGAGGACAATCATATTATCGCGCGAAAGTTGGTAATATTAAGCTTGAGGTATTATATTTGTAACGTCGAGCGAGCTCATTGAAACTTGGACCGCGAAAAGTCGAGCGTTTTTCCGTCGTTTTCTGCACTTAAAACGATGAAGATACGAAGAATGAACTAAATTCATCCATTAATTTTAATTGACGCTTATCCGAACGGCCTGGTTGTAGTACAAAAAAGCAGATGCTGTTACAGAGCGGATTGCATTCTCCTGAGCAATGGAAATTTGTTTAGAGATATCTTTGAAATTGCTCGCGCGTGTTCCTCGTAACGCGTCGCTTATCGCGTCATTTTCTGAACAGCGCTAATTGTCCAATGCGTCAGAGAGATTATTACCGTGAAACTATGCTGACCGCCATGCATCTTCTTTCAGGTTTAAATATTCCTAGTACATTTCCAGGTTGCTCGCATTCTTCGTCTATTTATCGATAAAGGTATTCGAGATTGAACACATGCGGCGGTCCTGACGTTTTAGTGACGCATAGAATTACGGAGACTACGGAACTACGGAGACCGTCGAGAGAAAGAGAGAGAGAGAAGGAAAGAGAGAACGCGTCCTTTCTTCTCCGAAAGTCACGTTTGTCGAAAAGAAACGACGACAAAAGCGCGGCGGCGAAAGAGGCTTTTCGAATTCGCGAAGATAAACCTTCGCGAAACTTCCTAGAAATAAGCTTTCAGCTTCCAGCGAAGAGCTTTGATTAATTCGCCGATTTGATTTGTAACTGTTATTGCGTATTACAATAAATATATTTTGATGATATAAGACTCAGATCTCGACAACATTCTCGATCATTTTAGTGACGATATTAAAATGCTCCTAAAAGTTTATTATTTACTGAAAAAAGACTTTCCTATCGTTTTATTTAACTATCTAAGTTATAAATATTAATTTTTGAAATTAAGCAAAATCAAGACAAATTAAAAAATAATATTACAAACACGGAAATATTATCTATTTTTAGTTTCTTTTTATTAATGCTTCACACGTCAATTGAGCTAATAGAGGTGCACACATAATAAAAAGTGATGCGTAAATATTTATATATGTTGCGGGTATTATTATAAATTTTCTATGTCTATATTTTCAAAACAAAACTGTCAATAATTCTGAAATTATTATATAATGTCTCTATTTTAATCCTTAATATCACAATAGTGTTTTATTAAAATTCTAAGTGTTATTTAGAAGAAAGTAAAAATAGAATTAAAAATAGGACATTAACCTCAAAGAATACGATTAAAAAATGTTATCTTTCATTGCGAATATCTTAGCTTCCGAATCGTCAAATATTTTTTAACTTTACAGAAGTATAAGTAATGTTTCCATCAATACACAGAAACAAATTAATCTTAAATCAAAAATAGATATTTTCATAATATAAACAAGAATATTATAATTTTCTAAGAATATTATTATATTCTTACTTATATATACGAGAATATTTATCATTGATTGGAGACTATTTTTTCCGTGTTCGCGGCTCGAATTTACAAACATTTCTAAGAAAATAGTTTGACGGATCAATTGCCTTATTAATAAAAGATCGTTGAGTAGTTATAACAAACAGGTTTCCGAAAACTTTTGCATATAATAACCCGCACTCTGGTTCCTCTTTTTTTTTTCTTTTCCCCGATCCGCTCTTTTTCCCGATGCAGTAAAAACAGGTATGAATTTCAAGCTTTTCGCATTTGGCGAGCGAAGCCCGGCGAGGAAGAGCATCGCGTTTCCAATTCGATGGATGGGAACTCTTTTATTGCGCTTTCATATCTCTTCGACAATTGACGGAGCACTTCGCCTAGGCCGATTAAAAGGCAGTTCCACAATCAATTTAATGCAAACGCAGCCGGATTTCATTGACACCGTCGTTTGCGTCTTAGAGAGCGTTATATATATATGCCGAAAAAGCGAAAAAATAATCTGGACGATCTGGGGGAGAGGGAGGAAAAATTAGATGATCGAAATTCGTCTTGATTGACGAGGCAAACGTTCGAGTGAGCCGAACGGGTTACGCTTCAGTTATACCGACGCAACATCAATTTGCGGCCGACATATTATGTTTACCGTAATAATAATATACGCCATCATCGTATTGACCAAATATTTAGGACGTTATGTGAATCCTGTTGGCGCTTTCATCCTTGTAATTAGCGTTCCTCTCTGCACTCGTATCGCGTTGCACGAGCGCCGTTATTCTGAAATTCGCCCATTATTTTGCATATCATGATGTATTCCGCCGATTTAATTATCGTCACAAGACTTTAATTAAATTGATATCATCTTCGGACGCGCCGTAAAACAGTCGGACGTGTCCTAATTGCAAATTCCCAACGGCTCGTTTACAAGCCGCGGGGAGTATAACGCGTCGCGCCCGCGCACATTGCTCTAATTAGAAGAAATTCTCATACGAATTTCCACTTATCTCCGCGTCCGGGGTGTCCTGGATGGATCGGGGGTAGCGAAGACTCGAGAACGTCGGCTGAAAGCGACTTTCACGATCTGAAAATGGCGAGGGATTGCTTTCATAGTCTGAAAATGGTGATAGAGTATCGTTAAGGAATTGCTTCGATTCTCCGCCGAAAAGTACGGATGAGCAAACGAATGAAACGATCAATTATTCATTCATCACACACGACCGATATTTTTGCGTTTAATCCAAAGTGTCGTTAGCTGTCACGCTTCAAAGTTAATCGATTGAATCATTCGACAGGCCGCAGCACAAAATTCCTTGGAAAAAAGGATACTCCTGCTCGTACACAATACTCGTTACGCTTTCGCACACGTGACTGCCGTTCCCGATTTCCTCCCGAAGTAATTAATCAGCCTTTGTTTTACGACTTTCACGACGCGATCGAACAAGGCATACACGTGCAACATTTTGCAACTGGGCTGATGTCGTGATGTCGTTTGCTGAAATCAATCAAGAGACAGCAGGATTTGGCGAGGGAACGAATACGCATCGATGTATGCAGCTTTCGTAATTTCGATTTATTTCATAACATATAACACATTTTTGATAAAATATATACATGTATACATATTGTTTATCGACAAGGTGTCCCAGAGATCTCGGCCCCTCAGTTTCAACGCACGCGAAACAAACCAATCGCCGAATCGGAGCCGGCGTTGTTTACCCGGGAAAAATTTTCCAGGTGGCATTTATTGCAACGTTTCAACGTCACGACGCAACAATCGCGCGACTGAATCTCTGAGACACGCGATAAAAACAATTAATCAGTAAAAAAAGATATCTATTCCGTGAAAATTCTGGAACGAAACACTCGGGTGTGAAACTTCATCGTTAAATTGCAGGCGTTTGCTTTTTTTCCTTTTTTTAAAAAATTTGACATCCCGTTAATTTAAAAAAATCGACATCGACGAAGTCGAAGTAATCCATCGGTGAGGTTTCGGCTGAGATCTCGGGAACAACTCGTGCATGTACGCGTGCGTACATATGTATCTCTCTCTCTCTCTCTTTTTTCATCGACGACGTTGCGCTATTTTCTACAGCAGATACAGTCGCAATGGTAACTCGCTCGCCTAAGTTCGACTACCCTCGGTTACCCATCACTCAGGAGGATTTGTACTTTAATAATGCAGAATGTATTATATATATGTACGTGTATAATGTACGTTCGCGACGCTGCTCGCTGACGCTGTCGAACATTAATTAGGCCCTGCGTAGCGGCGGTTTTCTCCCAGATTTCCCGACACCCGGGCCGTATTGCAATTGCCGACGGGTTCGCGGCACCGACGTTACCTGAGCGTAATCTGTTAGCGCGAGCCTCTGTTAATGATCGTCAATTGTCGAATCAACGGGACATCGGACGTAAATTGATTACGTTACTCGTAACTCCCGAGTCGAGTTCGCGGGGACTCGTTTGCCGGGCGCGTTTGTCCGGGCGATTTCTTCCGCGGCGGGGCGGAAATTACAACAGTTCGAGTCCGCCGCTCTTCCCGCGGCGGAGAAGACGGGCTCTGCCACGCGTCGCGATTAATAGCCTCGCCGAGCGATAAAACGTTACGAAACGACGTTACTTAAGGACAAACTATTCAACTATGGCGTGTCCCCGCTCTACTAGGTAATTAATGGAATGAATACGATGCGCGCCGAGCAGCGGTAGCAGCAACAGCGGTAGCAACGCGCCGGCAGCGGCATGATTTGTGAATCGCGCATGCACCTGTTACATTCTCCTTTTTTACACTCGGCGTTCGTAACGCCGCGATTACAACACGCGACGCTTTCAGCACACCTCCCGCCCACCCCTCGTTGCGGTCATCTTGATTAATGGCGTCGGAAAAACGTGAAGATACGCGCTCGAAATTCGTCGAAGCGAGAATGGTACGCCTGTAATGTGACACGTCGCGATCTCGATCCCGAGGATTGCGTAATATTAAAAAATTAATGGTAAATCACCTGAGATGGAATGTAGCCTGTTTTTTTAACTATTTTGCGACGCGTTACTTTCGTGACTACTTATCGATCATCGGGGCGAAAGGAAAGTTTCCGGACTCTTTTCTGCCGAATCTGCTTGATCGAGACGGCGAGTATCATTTCATAGACATCTCCCTTTGTTGCAAAGTTTGCTTCGCCAGAATGCCGAGTATGTGTCGTCTCGTTTCTGACGTCATTGAACAAAATGACCGTGGCGAGAGGAAACAAGAGCCTTAACACTGAACGAGCGGATCTCGGCTCTAAGCGTATCTTGTTTCAAACAAAACGATTAGTTCCAGAACGGCTGAGAGTCGTCGTCTGTCTTCCCTCTTTTTTCCCCTCTTTTCCTTTTTCTTCTTTCATCAAACGACCCGCGCAAAGTGCGATCGGTTTAATTCAGAAGAGTCGGCGCGAAATAATACGGACGGGAATAAAAACGCGGGAAAGCTCAGTCGTGATATTCGCACGGCCGGATGAATTTTCACTCTCCCCTCGGAGAGATTCGATTGCGGACCGAGCGGCCAGGCGAAAACCGATAAATATTTAATGCGCAAATAAATGTGTTTCTCTACGTTCGGCTTCGCTATGTGCTTTGCAAGCGCGCGCTCGCGAAAACATTCGCGAGAGAAACGTGATAAAACTGTTATTGCGATTATCGCATACGCATATTCGACCGATGTACAATCGGACGGATTAATGCTGAAACGCGGTGCTACTCCCCCTCCCCCACCCCCTCCTCTCTACCGGGTTCTTCGCCGATTTATTCGCTCGTTATTTCATGAAAACAAAGCGGTTCGCCTGCGTTATTGATCGCCAGAACTAAAAACCGACGTTTCCTTTTTTTCTTCTTAAATATTACAGAAAAATGGCGCGCGATCGGGTGCACGAGCGCGGCGTTAATCCAATCGTATGTATACAGGCACGCGATCGAAGACTAAAATTACCGAAGGCACATTGTCAAACTCCGTTTAAAACAATCCACGGCGATTTGGTCCTCCCGTACTCTTTCTCTCCCTCTCTCTCTCTCTCTCTCTCTCTCCCTCTGGTTCTTTAGGCAACGAAACAAGGCCTGGCGTATATACGAAAATATTCGATACATAATGTATAAAGTACATGCATAATGTATAAAGACGTCTTCGCGCGTAACTCAATAAATGTGTGTACATATATATATAACGATTATTGCTGTCTGGACTAGCGGCCGTTTACTCTTCGGCATCCTCGGCATCTAAAATACTCTTAAAGTAAAATGGCTGGAAGGGGTATCCCGTGCCTTCGTAGAATTTGGTCATGAACTCGACCCTGTAGCAAAAAAAAGTAGTGGAACGATGAGAGACGATATAAAACGCGAAGGACTCCGTCGAGGCGCTCTATCGATCGGCAAAAGTCATATTGATCGATCGACGACGATGCACCGTGAATGAATATGTCGCAAGTTGGCGCGAGAGGTTCGCCGAATTATTCCTCAAAAATACGTTGAAAGCAACGTTGAAGACAAAGACGCGCGATCTCGAAGTGATTCTTGTTGAAGGAATAAGATGTAATTAATGTTACGTTAATAATCATGTTAATCACCGTTGACTCCGACGCGTCTTCTCTTTTCTCTCGAAACAAATTTTCCACGGCCTTCTTTTACGAAAACTCGTACCTCCCTTTGAAAGCAGATTCAATGAGAAAAATCCTTCTCTTCTTCCCCTCTTGAGGAAAATCAGGCGAGCCGCTTGCAAGCACGCTGAAAAATGAGTTTGGTTGGATCTACCTGGCGATGGACAACTGAACACGTTTAGATTGAAGGGAACAGAATTTCTAGCTCTCACGAGCAAAATTTTACTCTCACAACCAGAAATTCTGTTTCAACCAAAACGCGTTTGAGTGTCCATTGTCGATCCGACCGAGCTCATTTTTCAGTGCAGCGACCGACACTCGGCCAATACGCACCAATGAAGTCGAAGCGTGTGCAGGAACGCCGAGAGGCCCTCCATCATGACGAGAATGGCGATGGTGAAGAAGGCCCAGACGGCGAAGAAGATGGACAGTAAGGCACCGGTGACGTAATCCCCTTCCGTGGCGCCCATGCCCAACCGTAACAGCCTTCCCCAGAGCACCTCGGACAGCTGTGAGTGAGCCAACGACAGCGCCCACAATCGCAGGTACGAGGCGGTGTGCGAAACAGTGGAGAGCGCGTATTCGATGGTGTGGATCGCCTGAGTGATCATCAGCTCGCCAAAGGACATATCGTCATGGTTGCCGTGACCGCCGCCGGCCGTGTCTTTGCTGGTCCCCGCCACCTGCATCTCGATCTCTTGCGATGCGTTCCCGTTGCTCTGGACAAGCCACGCGAATGTAACGTCAACGTACGATTAAATCCATGACAAATTAACGAATTCACGAAGACAAATTTTGCTAGAACGGCAAATCGGTTTGTTAAACCAGTGACAAGAAACATTTTCTGGACAGCGGGAAGATTTATTAAGAGTATTAATTGCTACTTGCTGGATACACGGACGGCAAAATCATTTGAATATACCAAATTTTACCAACTAAATTTTATCGCAGTCGCAACGACATTTTGCTCTAACGACGAAATTACTTTTTCCGCGTAACAAATCTTTTCGCTGTCACTGTTATACCGCCACTGTATTAACAAACAATTTGCTATTCCAGCCGAAATTTGTTTTCTCCGTGCCGATGTTTCCGGAAGTAGCCGAGAGCCGGTCGGTCGCATGATCGGTGCCTGCAGGTAAATTGCAAGGTAACGAGAGGCACTTACGAAGGTTTTCCCTTTATTCCTGACTCTCTTTGCCCTCGTGCACAGGACGTATAACGGCTTGCCGAAGAGCATCACCGGAATGCACGCGACAGCGATACCCAAACAAACGAACTGCAGGATGTTTTGTCCTTCGAACATGTACTCGGAACATTCCGGGGGCATGTTGGCGTGCTTGAAGAGCATCATGTTGATGAACGTTATCAGGACCGATGGTGCGCACATCGAACTTCGCATCGACTCTGCGTCACATTAACAATACGTTGCAATTAGCGTTAGCTGGCTTTCGCGATCACTCGCGGCTAAGTCATTTATTGATTGCTCACTGTCATCATTGGAGTTGTACAGAATCCACTTGATGAACATCAAGACAGTCATGTAAAAGAACAGCACAATAAGGAAGAATAGTTGCGGCAGGAATTCCAAGAAGAAGCTGTGATACCTTCTGAAATTTCTAAAGAAAAGAAAAAAGAAACACGTAGCAAAGTGAACGGAGAACCGGTCACATCGATCGCTCGTGTCGCTCGGAAAGACGAAGATGTCAAACGTCCGAAAACATTTCCCGTTCGAGTCGGAAAAGAAATCTCCGGAGACTCCCTTCCCCTTCTCATTTCAATTGTGATTCATTCGTAAATTAATTTACTTTCGACTTCTTTTTCTATTTGTTCTTCGACGCATTGAGTAGATTTCGCGCGGCTCCCTTTTCCACGTCCATGAGAAACCATTGAGATACTCACACGATATTGACGACGTTTATGCACACGCCGAAGATCATGTGCACGACGCCGAAGATGATGGACAGCTTCATCTTGAACGAATTCTGAAATACAATCTTGTTGCGCGCGAGCGCCCAAACTGGGTCCAAGCCCAAAGGATACGGATGCCTTATATAATCATTCCCCGGGTGCAACTGGAGCAGCGGGTTCTCGTTCACCGTGCTCTCGTTGTAAGAGATCCTCCAACTAGATCCGAATATGTTAAGCGACTTTGAAAACACGTCGTTGTAGATCAGACCAGCGTATATGGAGAACAGACCCATGAGGAGGATGATGTAACGTCCGCCGAAGAATATGCTCGCAATCTCGTTGCTCGATTTCTGCGCGATGATCTTCTTCTCCCGTATTATCATAGCGGCGGCGAAGATTGTCAGAATCAGTCCTGACATATGCAACGTGAAGACGTTACGATTACGATGTAGCCTCGATGCAATCTCGCGCATACGTTTCGCTCGTTTGCTTCGTCCACCCTTCTCATTCGTTCATAGATTTTTTTTCTCTCTTTTTCACTCACCGTGGCCGGCATCGCCGAACATCACGCCGAACAGGAAGGGAAACGTCACGATGGTGTAGAGCGCCGGATTAGCCTCGCGATACGACGCCACGCCGTACGCGTCGATCAGATTTTGGAAACCCCTGGTGAACTTGTTCGTCCGGTTGAACGTCGGCGGGTTCTCGTCCGTGTGGATCACGTTGAGAAATGACGGTATGGAGCTGCCGCAGAGTCGCTGGAAGAATTCCACGTTTCATTGTTCGCGATTCACCTGCCGGAGTTCGCGAACTACGGAACATCCAATGAGGCGCATATCTACCGACCGATCCTTCCGTCAGGCAATTCTGCACGGTGGTGAGGTCGGAAACTGGCACCCAGCATTCTCCGATAAGGCACTTCTTCGACACGTCCATGTTGAATAGATTCATCGTGTGGTAAATGGCCTTCATCTTGCGCACCATAATGCTCCAGTTTGGCAACTCCTTCGCCACGTTATGCAGAACACGCTGCCTATGATCTTGCGTTTGGTTCAATACCTTCATCAGAGAGATTGCCGTAAACGTAATGTCCGATAGAATAATACTTTCGTATAGTCTGTTCGAATATCGGAGAAAATATTATGATATATTGTAATATTATGATATATATATATACATCTCTCAGTATAAGGAAAACATCTAAATATCTTGGAAGCCTAATATGGGGACCTTAAAAACAATCGAAAAAATGTTCCCCTTTCCACGGTATTCCTTCTTCGAAACTATTCCAAAATTATATTCTAAACACATTTCTCACATCATTAAAAACAAAGGAGGTATTTAGGTGTTCTCCTTGTGCTAGGACACCCTGTATACATTATACATATATTATTAAATTATAATATATAATTTTATATAATTATAATAATAATTGATATATTTATAAATAGAATTGATGAATATCTATAATTATAAATTAACGATCTCCTCAGCAACCTCACCAAATTGAGATCTTCCAGTCTTGTTCGAACGCCTTTCACCATTTCTTCACGCTCCGCAAGACTGGTCGGGCAGGGGTAGAGCGAGGCGTGGAAGCCGGCGCAAACCTTCTTGATGCGGCTTTTCAATTGTTCCCCTTGGAAGAACGCCACGAAGACCGTCTTGTAAATTTGATTGCCCTGAAAACATTCACCGAAGAAAAGAATCAGGCGAATCGGCGAACTTGTGTATTGTCACTCGATTTGTACGCGGGTATCGATAGCAAACCGAGGCCGAATCGATCTCTCGGGAGGTATCGCCCCGTTGGAGGATACCGACGTTTTCGAAATCTCGCAGTATGATGCAAGGGAGAAGCGGGGCTTACGCCCACCGACAAGGGAGCGATAATTCTCGCGTAATTGTGAATCAGGCAGTGTCCGCGGAATGAAAGTAAAATCAAGACTAACCGTAGCCGGATCTTCCAGTGGTTTCTCAAGCTCGCTTTGCCGGAGGAACACGTTCCCGCGCGATATCCGCCAGAGCATTCTCTCGAAGGCTGGAACCCGTTCACGATTTATCACCCCGCCGACGAATCTGTAAGCAAATCGAGTATTACGTTCGCGTCTTCTTCGAAGCGTCGGGTCGGAATAAATGTCGTCACGTCGGAATGGATCGGTAATGAGTTCAACGATTTCGATTATCTCCGAGCAGCGAAGCAAATTCACCCTTTCGCACTAATGAGTCGTTTGTAACGGTAATAATGAGCAGTTTGACAATTTACTATTCTGGAACGAGTGCCGCCAGAACAGGTGTGCGCGCATAAAAGCGCCCTTATAATATTATTGAAGCGTAAAGTCGTACGTTCGGGAGTTATACGCGCCTCGTACGTCACGCGTTGAATTAAACACGCGAAAGAGCCGTCGCCTCTGTGAGGGGAAAGGTACAAAAAACACCAGGTAACTTACTCGAGGCGTCCGCGAGTCGTGGAGACCGGATTCTGTGGTTCCTCGTTAATGAGCGCCCGGGAGATCGAGTCGTTGGCTTCTTCCTGTTGATACAGAGGGAGAAAAAACGAATCTTGATTCTTCGACAAAACGGTAACATCGATTACGGGGAAGGGGAACGGCGAGGTTACGAGCAGAAGCTGCTGAACTACTTTAAGGTACCTCCGTGAAGAACGCTCGCGTCTTCTCGAGCACATGCTGTAATTCCGTCAGCTCGACATAGTTGATCTTCAGGTTCACCGCGTTCTGGCTCAACTCCCGTATGTCGTTCTCCGTTTTCTCGACGTGCGCCTGGAATGCGAAGGGAGAATACGATTGATGCGATCGCCGAATCGATCAGGGATACCCACTCATTGAAAATTTCCTGAGATTTAATCAGAATCTCGTCTGGTTTTCCGAAATAATTCGGGATTCCAGTTGGAAAATCTAGATAGATTCTGGTTACAAGTATAACGTTTCAGACATGTGATTCTAAATGGGTAACTCAAACAGATCCTGTTGGGTCATCCCCGAGGACGTTGTCCCCCGTAACGTTTTCCCAAAGATTGTTTCCGGTTTCCATTTTGTACTACAAGATTGAGCAAAATTCACGAAATATTTTAAGTATTTATTTTACTAATACATACACGCTATACATGCGCGCTCAATCAAACATAGTAACACGAAACACATCATCCCGTTAATTATTTATTTATTTTATTTGTTTATCATTTATTTATATTATTTTTTATTTATTTACGCATTTCGTACGCGAAGCAAGTCGCAGCAGTCAGCATTGCGCAAAAGAGGTTTCACCCCATGTTTGCGATAAGAATGGGATTCCCAATTGCACCGAGAAAAAATAGTAGTAAGAATACGCTAAGATTATTATCACTGATACTATAGTACTATAGTAAAACTTATTATAGAAACATGGTTCTCCTGACTTTAATTCTTTTATTGTAATGATTATAGTTACAAATACTAAATATTTTTTTCTCAGTGTGGTATCGTAATGATATAATCTATCTTGGGACAACTTTGAGTATTCTAATCAGAATCTATGCTATATATGGGAAAATCTAGAAAAATTTCTATGCGGGTACCGATCCGATAGATAGAAGTAATGATGATATCAACGGCAAAAACCGACAGTAACACCTTCTTATCTCATCGTCCGATGTTAAATCGGCCTTCAGAGTCGCAAAAAGCACCGCTCGAAAGACCGGCGGCGTAATGTGTACGCACAATGATTTACGAAACGTAATGCCTCACGGCGGAAATCTTACCTCGAGATTTATAATCTCACGGGGATTGGGTGCGCGCGGTAGCTCCGTAAGATTATCCGCGATCGGCACGTCGTCTTTCCTCACTTCCGTCTCGATGTATCGAAGCTTGCGTTCCAGTTCGTCGCATCGCCGTACCTCGTTGACGAACTTCCGTTGAAAGTAATTCACGTCGCCGTTCAGCTGGACAGACAATCGGAGTTTAATCGGTGTCCCCGACTTAATCGGAAGAATCAGTGCCGATTAAGCTCGCGTATATACGATAAAATGTGCATACCGGTTTTACTTTACAATTAACTATTATTAGTTATTAACATTAAAGGGATGCGAAAATCGACGACGAATTTTTTCAGCGTCGATAACATAGAGGCAATCCTCAAAATGTTATGTTACATAAACACTGACAATCGCGCTATTCTTTTTGTATTTTTCGTACGTACGGATCTTAAATAAATGTAAGTGCGATATATTACAAATATACCACGAATACGATGAATGTGTGCTACTTTATTTTACCAGATCTAACGGAAAATCTAATCAAAGTGTATAAAAATTTCTCTGCAAACCTTTCGTATCTCTTTAAGCCTTTAAATTTCATTGAAAAAATATACAAATATTGTTTGAAATTTTCCCGGATCAAAGCATTAACTCATTCAGTATAAACCGCGGTATGTCTGTATCAGATAAGTATTTACATTAACTGACAACTAGAGGGGAATATCAATTTCAAAATTTCCAATTGTTTTCGCCCCATATGAAGCAACGCTACAATTTATTTTCGCGCGTACTTTCACTCACTTTTTGTGCAGAAGCATTTATAATTCTGTGCGGCCAATACGGCGTGAGTTTTGCATGAAGAATTAAGTCAGTATTTTGCCGGCGAAATTTTCAAATGAATCTCGAAATCGAGATATTTCTCTTCCGCATCTTTACAGTTTTAGTATCCCCTCGGCTTCGAGACGTCGGTCAAGCGTCCATATGCCGCATATCATCATCGCTTGCTGCACCAAGCGCCCGAGAATTACGTTAAGTAAGGACGCTACGAATGGAGATCACATCTAATCCAACTTACATCACGAAATTGCACCGTACCGGTTTCTCCAAGTTCAGAAACGGAAAGGTAAGCCGCCTCCGGCTGAATGAACAGCTGGCAAAGGGCCATATCCTCGCTCCTGAACATCGCCCCCATCTTGGAAACGATTTATTCCTTACCCTACGGCGAGAAATAATATTCCCTATAAATTGTAGCCTGTGTGTAGCAAATACGGCAGGAAATAAATTCTCAGCCAACGAACGAGAGAGAAAGAGGGACGAAGCGAGGAGAGCAAAAAAGAAGGGAAAAACATCGAGCGGAGTGTACGAATTGTTGAACGAATATCACGGATGGAAAAAGGACTTTCCTTGTTAACGCGGCGAGACCGGCAATTCCTTTGGCGAATTCGCGTTTCTTCTTCTTCGCACTCAGCCTTGACGACCTCTCCCCCCTCTCTCTCTCTCTCTCTCTCTCTCGCGCCGTTTTCTCGTAGGTGCGGAGCGTTTGCATAGTCTGTGTGAAGAGTATACACGTGTAACGCATCTTATCTATCGGCAAATACAAAATTACGGCTGGAAAGACGCATGCAACGGTGGAGATGCACGGCTATAATTAGACGGTGGGACGTCGTTCGCGCGCGAATGCGGACCCCCGACGCAATTTAATCGTCTCAAAACTCAAACGAGATGTTTTACGGCTCTGTTTTCACGTAGGTGGAGACACGACGATAAACAGGAGTGCGAGATAAGCGGGACGTTTCATAAATTTGTACGCGAACGAAAGTGAAACATTCACATCGGTACCTTCCCCCTCCCCCCTCCTTTCTCCTCATTCTCTTTTATGTATACGGTACACCCTCGCCGGGCAAATTTTGTGCTCTATCTCTTATCATATTCGCCGGAGAGCGAAAGAGCGGATATTGCGCGAACGCTTTGGAACGCGGCTCGTTGGTTAATATTACGCGGTATAAACTACGTGCGGTACGTAAGGTATCAAATTTGCGAGAATCCGGAGCAACGGTAGTCCGCTTAGAGTCACGGATACATCCCGAGATACGTTCATTGACGGGCTCATTGTACGTATTGAGATATTCAGCGAAACACTGAGAAGTATGAATAAACTCTCGGTCTCTCGCGATAAAGCGGAGGTATAAATGAGGTACTTTCCGAGCGAGAAACGATTGTAAAGTACAAGACAACAGTATAAAACGTGTAAATGTGGACAGTGCAAAATTAAAGTCAAGATCAACGATCTCGATATGATATATTAACGCGTGCAATCTGTATATTTATTATCCGATTGAATAATTACATATCATGTATATACATGTCTCGCTTGCTTTCAATATTTCTCCGATTCAAGAAGATCGATAAGTATAGAAAGACAGCAACTCTTTCTGCCATTAGTTAATTATACTTGCGAATACGTTCGTCCTATTCGCCCACTTATTATCCTAAGTACACATCGAGAGTTTTCAATACAAATGGACGTCCCCGTTTATGGGATTCACACGCACTCTTCTGAAACGATATTTCCCAGAAATACGGCGGAAAACAATACCTTTGCTTCATCCACTGTAATCTGCAATCTTTGCAATTATTTGATAAGACACTAGATAAAGAAGAATAACGACTACTTGTAACGTGTCGATCAAGAATGCCCCGATAAGAAATACCCAATGATAATGCCGCGTCTTAGCGTGCAAAGTCCGCTCGCGAAAAATAATATTGCTCTAACGCTATCGACACTTACGACGCTTAACTGAGATTTCTGAATGATCCGTGAATTCAGTGAGCGATCCCTTCGTAAAATATCGACCACCTAGATGTGCCGCAACAACGACTCCACAAAAGCGAGAAGCACGTGATGATCGAAGGCCTGTCGTCGTTCTTTTGAACGATTCCGGACAACCAGCTTATCATATTTTGCCGTGACGAATTCTAAAGAGGCCATCGAAATATTAACATGTTATCAACACGACTAATTAATACTTCAAGGTCTGATCGCTTAATTCAACGTTCTCGTCGACGAACATCAAATGAGTTATGCCATGCCGCACAACGAATCGATTATCTCTAATCGCGACAGATTAATACGGTATTTTGAAACAACGTACATCCTGACGCGACGAGCGTATATCTCCTTTATCAAGTGAAAGAGAGAGAGAAAGAGAAAGAGACAGAAAAAGAGAAAGAGAGAGAAATACAAATGTATCATTTATAATACAACATGAATACGCAACGAAACACACTCGGAACAACGACGAATCAACTGCCGTTCGCATCGGGACCGAAAATAATTAATATCTGCGCAATACGAGATAATCAAATCGCAAACGATTACAATTTTTAGACCACTCTATAGATGCACGTGGAAAATGAAGTATGATTGAATTCATTAGATAGTGAACAAACCAAACGAATTTTGGTCGAAGGAAACGGAACTTCTAGTTATAAGAATTAAATTCTGTTTCTTTGTACCAAAACGCGTTGGATTTGTTTACTGCCTGGTAAATTCAATCAAATTTTGTTTTCAGTGCAATGACTTGTTTTCGCCAAGCTGAAAGTATGTACCTTCGTATCCGCGGAATGTAATAATTGCGTGAGCAAAAACGCGGTAAAAGGATAACACCGCAAATTGACGGCGGACGGGCGTTGGTTTCCTGTGAAATTGTAAAGATATCCGGGTCTTTGCGTCGGTACGGCGAAAGTAAACACAGACAATTGCTAATTGTCACTGGAATCACCGCTTTAAGCTTAAGTGTGATACGAGAGGGGAGCGTCGAAAGCAGAAAGAAATTCACTGTACTTCGACAGAAAATTTAAAGGAAAGCAACAAGCGGAAGAAGAAGAAATATAAAAAACACTATATTACAGAATATATAACACTATATTATTAAAGAGAAGAGAAGAGAAGAGAAGAGAGAGAGAGAAAGTATTATTTATTATATACGCTCTGGGATTAATTCCCCTAAAGCGCCTTAATACGATGTAAGAATTATTTTCGGAAAATAATATATATTACAATTGTAAAATGAAAGTTAAGTAAATTAAAAATAAGATATAATAAGATTGAAATTAGATAAAAACCAATACAAAAAGTAAGATAAATTGAACCTGATTAATTAGCGAAGTGAGTTCATAGCAGTTTCATAGACAAAGTTTGAAATAAAGTATAAAAGTCTTAGTCTAAAACTAAAATAGTTAAATATTTTGAGTGTTGCCTTCTAAACGTTGTAGAGGGAGAGAGAGAGAGAGAGAGAGAGAGAGAGAGAGTAGGGGAGAGAAAGGAGCAGACAGTGGGCGACTATTCGTGTGTAGTTGATAGGTCGTAACCCTAATAAACTTGGAGCAACAGGTTCTTCACCATACATGCCGTTGATTCAGTATTAACTCCGCGCGACTGCAATTCACGTGCCGATCCCGACGATTGTTATTCAACGAGAGAGAGAGAGAGAGAAGGAGAGCAGAAGAGAGATAAAAACAGACGCACTCGTCGTTGGGATAACAGGATAACAATCGGAGTAAACAGCGCGAGCGATGACGGAGGATAACGTAACGAGTTATATATCTTCCGGCGGCAAGAGACGGCGCGATTTCCGTCAAATCGTCGTCACGAGGCAGCGTCGGCCGCGATAAAAGAGGCGACAGCTGTAGGAAGCGAATTACACATCCACTGATTATCCAAGTGTTTCGTGAAGGGAGGAGTACGCGACAAACGAGCTCCTTCCTCTTGGCATAAGTAAAGGAGACCGAGCTCCGCTCGAGCGGCCCAATGAAAACACGGAGGTGCCGTAACACACGTCGAACGTGGCTTCTCTCTCCACGACGGCTCGTTAAATATTGCTCGTCTCTGTCGATCAGAGAAATGTTCATAAGCGCGTTATCGTTCAATTACAGGCAATTATCCCGGCGTGCTGATAACGCGGCCGCAGTTTTTACTTCTGACCCCCGCGGTTCTAACGTGACACACGATGCGGAATTCCGGATGATTCATGGTGTTTTAGAGAGGCCTTCGTATAATAAATAAAGAGTCGACTCTGTCACGGGCGTTACACGTCCTACGTAACGATGACCGGTGACTCATGCGTGTCAGTTCGTCGACGTGATGCCATGATTTAATTTGCACCGGTACCTCAATTCGGAGCCCTTCGTTCCAGTCGCAGGATATGATTGATTTTCCCGAAGCAGGTGGAAATTCGAGATCGACGAGGATCGAGAGGATTCAACTGGCGATCCAGTCGCACTGAGAGAAAAATATAGTTACTCTCGGGAACAACAATATCCTTTTCCTCACTTCAACCACAAAAATAGTCGAGGTAACTAATTTTCTAGTAAGTCTCACTCTATAGTGTTGGTGACAATAACCTCACGTGCATGTTGCTACTACTATTTTTGTGGATGAAATGAAAAAAAAGGTATTGTTGTCCCCGAAAATAACTCTATTTTTTAAATAATAACAATAGAAAATAACTATTATTTTCCTCTTAGTGCAGTCGAACTAAAGACACCTCGTTCGATCGATCGGGTCGAAGACAACCTGCGAACCAACGGTTTGCGATAATCAAGAAAATCGACGGAGCTCGTTTCACTTCGCGAAAACGACGAGACCACATAATGTACGCGTCAGTCACCGGGGGACTCATTATGGAACTGTTCGGAATTGATTCCGATCGGGATCTTTCGGTTATTCCCCGGATATTCCCTTGTATTTCACAGAGAATAATTAAGCGATTCCGATCGGAATTAATTCCGAACGAATTCATAATGCGTGCTCTGGGTACATCTATTATAGAACCGTTTCGAGATGTTTCCGTTCAGTTATTCTCTGGGAAGCACAATAGAAATCCAGGGAATAATTGAGTGAATCCGAACGGAATTCTTTCCGTGCATTTCCATAATAGGTGTGCCCAGTTCCATAATGGATACCCAGGATCAAGGCGTTCAGAGAGCCGTCAATTCTCACCTCGCTCGAAAATGACGAACGACTTCGGCAAAAACAACGCGATCCTCGGTCACAGGTTGACAGCGCTCTCGAAGCGACCAGCTCGATGGTACCGTTATGTGCCGGCGAATGAATGATTATTAACTGGAAGTTGCTGATCGCTAATCACGCGAAGAAACCACAAGCAAGTAGAGAACCAGCGAGAAAATATTTCGACTCCTTCGATGACACGCACG